GTCTTCGCCAAGAACTTCGGCAGGGGCCCAGAATGGCTGGAGGGCCGCATCATCCGTCCCCTAGGAGCGGTAATGTACGAGGTGTCCACCAAGTGCGGCCAGGTACTGCAGAGACATGTCGACCAGCTCCGGCGGCACATGCTCCCAGAACTCTCGGACACCGAGGGCTCGGAGCCACAGCCGGCACTCGAAGAGAGCGCTCCTCCACCCCTGGCGCCCATCTCCACTCAGGGGGAACAGCCGATCCCGTCTCTGGGGCCACCGACAATCAGAGACATGTCGACCAGCTCCGGCGGCACATGCTCCCAGAACTCTCGGACACCGAGGGCTCGGAGCCACAGCCGGCACTCGAAGAGAGCGCTCCTCCACCCCTGGCGCCCATCTCCACTCAGGGGGAACAGCCGATCCCGTCTCTGGGGCCACCGACAATCGCTAGCGAGGCTCCGGCCACAGGAGTCGCCGAGCCAGCGCAACCACCACCGGAAGGTGAGACCCCCGTGGCCACAGCACCAAACCCCCAGTGATCCACCAGAGAACGACGGTCCCCGTCTTATTTGAAGGACTATGTCACCTAGGGTGGGTCGGAACTATGGGGGGGAGGGATGTTGTGTATGCAGACCGCTACAGGGGGGCCAGCGGTCAGCCAGAATTGCCAGAGCTTGACTCTGGGATAACAATGGGGACTAGGATCCTAGTCCCCACTGGGGAGCCAATGGGAACCATGGCGGGAAATTCAAACCCACCAATGGTGACCAGGGGTGTGTCCCCAGGGGTGTATATAGTTGGCCTGCCGGCCGTTTGTCCTTGTCCTTGTTGTGTACCAATAAAGCGTGCTATGCACTACGTCGTCGTCTGTCGTCTCTCCATGCGGCAACCCACTACACAATAGCCACCCAAATGTCTTTTAAGTGAATGGAGGAGGATTTCCCCCTTTTTGTTTCAACTCTGTGTATTTTTCAGCAAGCTTGGTGATTCCCCTGGCTTTGTGGAACCATATAACTTAGCCCTGGCTGCCCCCATTGTACAGATTCTTTGATCTGCATGGGAGGGGGAAGAGAGATACATGGTTATTAAATATACAGATCAGGGCTTCAAAATATTGAAGGTACTTCCTGTGTATCATCTCAGTAATTTTTACAACAACCCTGTAAAGAAGATCAAAACTGTGATCTCCATAGAATAGACGTGGATCATCTCTGTGAAAGGCATAAGAGCTGTCTTGCCACACACAAAAAAAGAGCCACAACTGTAGCCAACACTAATTCCCCTTGAAAAAGTAGATTTGGAATAAGTTAATATAGTGTTTCTTGGTTTCTCTTTCATCCGCTGGTGAACATAATACAAAACAACAGTTCCATACTTTGTGTCTTTTATAGGTGTGAGTCCATACTGGATAGGGGAAATGGACAATCCCATCTCAAAGAAGACAGTGTCCCGATACAGACAGGCTCATTCTCTTTACACCAACAGAAAGTCGCTCTCTCAGCAGCTGGATTATTCAGCAGGAAACAGCAGGAAGAGCCCCGGTAAGCATCAGACAGCATATCCAGGTAGGGTCACACTTACCAGTCTCAGTAAAGGACAAGGGACACCGCTGGTTTTGTGGCCATATTTTCTTATCCACCTCTGCTGAATTTATGAAGCTGCGTTATACCGATTCCAACAAAAGGATCTGAATAGCTCAGAAACAGCAGCAGAGTTCCAGGACCTTAGGACAGTGAGACCCAAAATGAGTGCCGCAAGAAACAGCTAAATCATGTGAGTCCAAAGCACCCCCACCCCCAAGGAGACCTGTTGCCTCTGCATGATTCAGTGATTTCACCTTTCCTCCGTACGCCACCAGCCTCTTCTAGGACTGGATAATTCTGCCCTGTCTCTGCAGGAAGTGCAGTTAGGAAATTCAATCACTCCCAATACAAAGGCTCAGCAGAATGACCCATCCTCAGAAAAGGCTACTATAGGCATGCAGCATGAGTTACCTGCTCTGGTGCTACTTCTTTGCATTTGGGAAGCACAACAAGAACATGCAAAAGCAGATGCTGAGATCCTCTGCAGTAGTTAATTCTTACTCTTGTCCACAAAATATGCAAAAGAGTATATTTAATGTTATCTAAAGAAAGTAGTACATGACAGAGACTGAAAACCTGGGAAACGGTTTTAGGGAAAACTGTCATTCCCAGTTCAGTTACATGAAAATGCCAAGAACTGAACCCACTGGGGGTCACCGTAGTCCCTCCAGTTGTAAGGAAACAACCTGTATGCCTCTTGATTTAAAGCAATATCTGCAGGATCCTTAAATACTTTAAAATAATTCCCAGTTAACATAGATTAGATCTTGACCCAGGCTAGTTCAACTTTGTCAGATCTCAAAAGCCAGGGTCAGCCATGGTTAGTAATTGGATGGGAGACCAGCGAGAAAGTCCAGGGTGGCGAGGCAGAGGCAGGAAATGGCAAATCACCTGTTTGTCTCTTGCCTTGAAAACTGCATGAGGGGTTGCCATAAGTTGGCTGCAACTTGGAGGCACTTTACACACACACAACATTGCTTGAGAAACATCAAGAACACATTGGTAGTGTGTCAGCTGATTGATAACCTTCAGCAGTCACTGATGGCAAGATGATGGACCCTGGAGACAGTTTACCCATTCCACTGGTACTGTGTCAGTCAGTTCCTCCCTGTCACTTAATAATTTTTTGTTTCTGATGCAGCCTCTTTCCAGATCTTCACGATCGCTAAGTACAGCTCAGCTGTTACACGCTTCGTGTGGCCTGCAGGCCTCTGTCATCTCCAACATTGTTTTAATGAAAGGCCAAGGAAAGGTGAGATGCCCATTTATCCTCCCTGGTGGAACAGGCACAAAATTGGCTGGGGGAGGAGACATTTCTAATAGACTGCAAAACATAAATGCTATTTGATGCTCAGAACGCACGTTCAATCTAAAACTGTGCTCGCAAGAACAATTAGACACCAGTTCCAAAAGTCTTGGGGTTTTTCTTCGTCTCACTGTTGAAATCCAACACAACTATTTTTCTGCAAAGTGCTACTGAGTCATGCATCTGCCGTGTGCTAGAAACGGTAGAATTAGTTTGCCAAAAGGAGACACAGTGAATGATGTACTCTGCAGCCAGTACTTGGATAAACAAGTGGATGTGCTCATAAAAAGCGCATCAAAGGCAGCTCCCCAAGTTTTCATCAGTTAGTTATTAGCAGCAACATGCATCGTGTGACATGTGTGGCACATTGTCCCAGTGAGATGCAGCGTCTATGCTGATTTATATACTTGCACAGTTTACAGTAGCTAGTGCAGGAACCAAAACTGGATGTCCCTCTATGGAGCAAAGTCCATGGGTTTAGGAAGGGTGCAATTCTGTTGAGAACTGCTCCTGTCAGACACTGATCTCACCCAGCCAGGATTTTTAAAAAGTTGGGGGGCACTGAAATAAAAATAAAATTAAAAATTCACATACGCTGAGTTAAAAAAAATTCACGTAAGAAGGAGGGGAGGCCGCATGCGTCTGCACTCCAAGCCGTGAACTCGTGGCTTAGAGCGCAGGCCCACAGCCCCCGCTTCTCTCCCAAAGCCTTTAAAGGGACAAATTCACATCTGGGAGTGCAGGCGCATACAGCCTTCCCCCCACTTCTCCCTAAAAGTCATGGGGCCTTGGTAGGAAGTCGGGGGGCCAGGCCCCTGGAGGCCCCACTGTAGCTACTGGCCTGATCACACCAGGCATCTGAGTGAGAACTCCTTCCGTCTGCACAGCACTGCTTTTGTTCAATTCAAAATTAAGAAACTCCTTCTGTCTGCACAGCACTGCTTTTGTTCAATTCAAAATTAAGAAACTAAATTGAAGATGACCTTTCATTTCAAAAGTGGCTTGAATTACACTTCAAAGAAAACCATGGCTTATTTTAACTGTGGTTAGTTTGTGGAACCAAGATTCACTTCGCAGGTAGTCACTCAGATTCTAATTTGCCTTGACAAATTAAGTCAGTTTTATTGCTTTCTCTCTGTAGCCTGGGAAGATGTCACCACGGAAGAAACTGGGATTAAACCAGGCTGCCTACATTCAGACAACATATAAATCATAATTAAGACTTTTAATGGGCAATAAACCAACTTCAGATCCTGGCTTGAGGGGCTCTAAGTTACAAATTTAGTGGTGTGGCCTGCGGTTAGACAATCACACTAACAATTGAATTAAACCCCAGTTTTGCACAATGTTACGCCTGATTCAACAATTGTTAGATTTGCTTATTAAATTGCAAATTAAATTGTAAATTCTTACTTGCTTTGCTATTGGGGAATGGCACCTATACTAAGATTTTGTTCAAATGTATTTATCAAGCACATTATTTTTATCTCTCCCTTCCTCCAAGGAGCATAGTTTTGTCTTCCTGATTTTATGCTAAGAACAATCCCTTTGATTAATTGGTTATTTAAGGCAAGCAGATGACTATTTAACTAAAAATGCTTTAATTGGTTGGCAGCTCTAAATGATGTCCTTTCCCTGTCTTGGCTTCCGTGTCCACTTAGGGACTGGGATTCAGCATCGTTGGAGGAAAAGATAGTATTTACGGCCCCATCGGTATCTATGTTAAGACCATCTTTCCTGGAGGGGCCGCTGCTGCAGATGGAAGGCTACAAGAAGGTGAGAGAGCTGTTCTTGGGGGGCTTCAGTGATTCAGATTCAATGCTGCCATCAAGGCAATGGGCACAATTCACCACAAACTGTTCCTCAGAAGTCTCACTGAAATAAGTACAGCTTGCAGAAGACCAACGTTGGTCTTCTGGAGCTGCAGTTCCCAGATAATTTTACAACTATGGTTACCAAGATCTGGGTTTAAATATTGTTAGCCAAATTGCCTTATTTCTTTATTAAAATGGGGAATTATAGTTATTAAATGGCAATAGGCTGCTAAGGGAGCAATAACCCGTGTATACAGGAGTCCCGCTTATTCCAGAATATGAGAAATTAGAAGCAGAGACCAGATCTTAAAGAAATGGTTTCTTTACTGGAAAGTTTGCACACACACACAATAAATCTCAAGCACACACACAATACAGAACTAGGGAAAATAGACTGAAAGGGTACAGCGACATTTGCATTAGCAGGAGATCGTTGTTGGGGTAATACTGACCTGTCCAGAGAGAGGAAGCAATCCTGCAGCAGAAAAATGAGGGAAACTATAAGGGAAAGGGCTCGGATTCTGAACCAGCAGAGCACGTGGTAGACTCTGGGCAGCGCTTAAACTGAGAGTCGGCAAGGTAGGATGGGGTCAGGTAGAGAGGAAGTAAGGGAGAGAGTGAAGGCTATCCTCTCTCTCTTTTTATACTTTATTTGGGCTGAGAGGTGTGTGTTCTCTAGTCACGTTCCCCTCTAGTCCCGTCCCCAGGAAGTTGCTAGAAAAAAACTGGTTTCAAGAGGATGGGGGCTTTAATGGTCGGGCAATGTTGCCTCTGTTTACTTTAACAGTGGCACCTTTGTAGGACAATGGCTGAAGCAATCAGAGTCTTTGATGGTGATGGGTTTAGCCGGTATGCAGAGGTCGATTTGGGGGGGGATCATGGGGATCGCCGCTCCCCCGGGTGAGGTGTGGGGGGTGGGGCACATGACAAAGCCCCCGCCCCTGCTTCCGGCCGCCCCACTTCCGGCCCTCATTCAGCCAGGAGGAGGCAGGAGAAGAGGAAGGGTAAGTTGCTTCCTCCCCGCCTCTCCCCACCCCTGCCTGCCTGGGGCCAGGGAGGGCCTTTGCGGGGCTTCCTTGCACTCCCACCGGCCTTGCAGGTCCACCGCCGGGCCCCTGATGGGCATATCACAGTAAATTTATGAATGCTCCTGCAAACCCAGCCCACAGAAGAGGTTGCCTGATACGTATCTGCAGAGGTCGATTCGGGGGGAATCACGGGGGATTGCCGTTCCCCTGGGTGAGGTGCGGGGGCAGGACACATGACGAAGCCCTTGCCCCTGCATCCGGCAGTCCCGCTTCCGGCACTCATTCAGCCAGGAGGAGGCAGGAGAAGAGGGAGGGTAAGTTGCT